TTTACAAAGACTTGATCCTTTATGAGATATGAGTCAAGGCTGTAGTGCTGAGCATTTACTAGTGGAAGTGCAGGATCAAAGAACTTATTTGGTCTGTTCACTTGAGTGCTATGCTGAAGTCTTCAGTAGAGCAAAGATGCCTGAAAGAAAAAGCTAAACATGCCCAGATGCTAGTAAAGAAGCTAATTGATAAGTGGTAAGATGTGTTGTATATGAAGTATTTCAGTGTCCTTTTTGGGCAGCACAAAGCTTGGTTTTACTTTGGTGAGTTGGTTACAACTCACATACAGGTTCTGCTCTTAGCTTTGCAGTCATTTCAGACTCCAGCTGAAGCAAAAACCAATTTTTTTACAGCTGTGCAAGCATTTACAGGATGCTGTGTTTTTTATGCTCTAATTAGCACAACTGAGATACAGTATAACCTATTGTCCTGGCTTAGACTGTCCCTTTTTAAATCAGCTCCATCAAACTGTTTGGGAAGAAGAGCAGGTGACAAGAAAAACTATTTTCCTTTATGCTCTAGAGGATTAAGCTCCTTAACCTCAGGTTCTGGATGTTGCCACATAGGGACCTCTGCATGGGGCAGCAGTAGGCAGTCATGAAAATGAAAATATTCATGAAGGGCTTGCTGCTGACTGGATAGTTAAGGTCATACTGACTGGTACTGGTGGCAGCAGCCAGCCCTTCAGGCTTAGGCTGTGCTCTAGGAAGTGTCCGTACCCGAAATAGGTGAAAATTTCTCAATTTCCCTGTAAAGGGATGCTGAAAAGAAAGGATGGAATTTCTGTTATGTGGGTTTTTTGTGCTAGGACTTTGAGGGGCCAAAAGAGATATTAGACTACCATTACAGGGCTACAGTGTCCCTGCCAGCAGCAAGTGAGCACAACTTATCCCATCAGCTCTGCACAGTTTTCTGACCAAATGCTGAGGCTGTACTTTATTTTCTGTACTAAGAGTCTCCCGGTACCTGCAATGTCAGCGGTGCCTGAATCTGTTCTCCTTTACCCTGCATCATAAGGGCCTGAGGAAAATGACCTGCAGCTGTTAATTAGATGGTGAATAGCTGGGGAGGGAGGAAGAGTGCAAGCGTGAGCCATGGGTTTTCAACTGCCTTTGCTGGAGCAAGGGTGGCTGAGTGTCATTGCCCATGTGTTATGGGGCAGGCAGATGAAGAGGAAAAGGAGAGGTCTGTGGGGGATAAGTAGTGCTTGGTAACACATGCATTTTCAGATCTTTCTCCTGTTGCTCTGTGTTGGATTAAATTAATCAGGGTGTGTAGCTCTCATCAGCTGTCCTGAGTTCTAACAAATGTTGAGCACTGTTCATGCAGAAAAATGGGTGTCCTTGCTCTATTGATACAGGGACTGACCTCACTCACATCTGGTCAATCTGAGCTGGCCCCATGGGTTAGCCCCTTGCCCAAATCCTCCCATCTTTTCCCAGGGAATGTGCTGCATGTGGAGAAACATCCTGATTTCTTGGGCGTTGCTGCATGCTGCTGCCCAAAGCCTTGCCCTGTAACTAGCAGAAGTTCCTGCTGTGCATGTCTAGCCTTAACATGGGTGAAGCAAGGATGTTGCATCTTAAATGAAAAGATTAGATGTACCTCACCTGCTGTTTCAGGCTGTCTAGACAGCCAGGTTTGTCAATGCTGTTGTCACCGACAGCACCAGGGTGAATGTGGTTTAACCCCTCCTGGTGGGAAGGAAGATCAGCATGCGAGCTTCGTTGTGCTTGTGAGGAACAAGCCAAGACCCTCTTGTGCTGGGGAGGCTGTGCAGTGCTGATCTCTTGGCAGCCTCTGTCCAGCTTTCTTTCTGTCAAGGAGTTCATTTAAGAGAAGAGCTGCTGCCTCCTATCAAGGAGTTAGCAAGAGCACAGGTGTTGCTTCCTCTGTGACAGAGATATGATCAGTAAAACTGCTGATTGCCTTGAAACAGATATGTGCTTAAATAGTTTATTGGAGCTTGATGTAAAATATTTCATAACGATAGCATAATTTCCATCATAAGTGATCAGTTTTACCAGGATCAAGTACGTGACGTTCTCAGTTTTATTTAGCCAACTGTCGGTAAAGTGGAGTAAGTGTATAGCTAGAAAAGCCTTTAAAAGCCAGCTTTTTTTGAGAGGTAGCAACAAGTTCTGCTTTCACAGGAACCCCGTGCCAGTGTTGTTAGGCCGTTGCTTGAAGAGAAGAGGTAGTGACTCATGCCAATGGCTGGGTGAACCTCTTCCCCCGGCAGCCCGCTGCCCAAGTATGGCTTATGTCGCCGTAGACAAAGCACTCTCTGATCTGCAAAGGCACTACCGAGCCTATGGAGGAGCGTGACCCTGGCTTGGGTTTTTAAACTGCAGCTGAATTGTTAGCGGTGAGCATGGACTCTGTGTGTGCGTGCTTAGTACTTAAACACGCCGCTTCTTAATCTTCAGTATATTTCAACACCAAATGAGAGCAAGTACTCAAATTTAGAAGAGAAGAGCTGACTAAACAGTTCTTATTTCTTTTTGCTCCTCATCCTTTGGCAGTGATTACTTTGGAATTTACTTGGAATATGGCCTTTGGGCTAATTTCTTCCCAAAGTCCCTCTGCACAGCTTTGCTCGCTGCTTGAGCAGACAATGTAAATTGATCCTTTCCTAAGCAGTATGGAAAGTGAAACTTAAGCCTGGTGGCTTCTGTTTGGTGGTTTTTTTTTTCTTATCACAAGTGAGCAGCTTCATTGAAAAGGGAATCCATGATGTCAGGTGTCTACTAGGATTTCTCCTTAGACTGTGATGTCCCTCCTCTGTTTGGCTGGTAGTATGTTACCTCAGACCAATAAGTATGGAGTAGGGAAAAAAAAATTGGAGTATAAATATATTGTGGGAAATATCTCCTTAAGATTTTTCCTGACTCTGGAAGGTGTTTAAGAACACTACTGAAAATCTTTTATTCTGGCCATTATAAATAAAATATTTATTACTGTTTTCTGCTCCATGCTTGTGATTTTCATTGTAATTCAAGGTAAGAGAAGAGAATTTAATGTATTTTTAGCACTGATCAAGACTGATTTGTATTTACTTATGATATTTTATAGAGCTGTAAAGTTTGGTTGAAGACAGACACATAAATGAAGAATTAACACTTCATTACTGGGTCTAAAGCTGTGGTTTCAAGGAACAACTCCTAGAGCAAGAAATCAGGTTAAGGAGGTGCATACCTCCTCACCCCCATTTATTGGGTGTTATTAGTTCCTCACCCCACCTCTTCTCTCATATATAATTGATTGCTTGGCCAGTGTGTGAAGTGTAAATAAATGCAATTGTTTCTGTAAGAAGACACAGAAATGCAGAGCTGATAGCAGGGTGAGATATTTCTTTAAAAAGTAGTTTGTCTGACAAAGGAGCTATAATTTTAAACCACAACTTATGTTTTAAACAAGTGTGGTATTTGTCATGTTGTCATGAAAAACTTCTGTTCCCGGGGAGAAGAGTGCCTCTGCATCCCAAAAGGCTCCAACTTTGTCCACCTGAAGGTTTTATTAAAAAATGGCCTGCTTCTCAGCAGCACTACCTGTGAACACGTTGAGATGATGTGAGTATAGACATTACCTCTTCCATTGCATAGATTGCATAAGAAGTGTTGAACATGGTATTTGGTTTAGAAAAAAGAAAGTCCAAAGGCTGGGCTTTGAAAGCTACTGGGATTTAGCTGTGTTAAAAGCAATAAAACATTAACAGGACTTTGTGTTTTGTCATTAAGTAGTTATTTAGTCAGGAATTTGTTACAGAGTTGGAGCCCCAAGCTTCCATATCTAATGACTGATATGGTGAAAATAACCTGCCAATACCTACCACAGGACTTACTTTCTTTGGTTTGATCTCTACGATGCAAGACCCCTGGGCACTCCAGCTGGAGGTCGTAGCAGGAGCACACACCTCCCCAGGCTGTGGCACACCCATTGCCCTGGACATAGCAGTGGTTGCAGTGGATAGGCCATGCTTCATGGTCCTCACGGCTGCATGAGTCAAAACACTGCACTCTTTGAAGTGCAGGGAGTGGGCAAACAGTGCTGATGGTGTTCTTTGCCTTGCATACTTAAGTCTTGTCAATAATGGAGCTGCTCTTCCATGAGGACAGGCTGAGAGGGTTGCGGTTGTTCAGCCTGGAGAAGAGAAGGCTCCAGGGAGACCTTATTGCAGCCTGCCAGGGCTTAAAGGGGGTTTAGAACAAAGACAGGGACAGAGTTTTTAGCAGGGCCTAGAGCAATAGGACAAGGAATAATGGTTTTAAGATAAAGAGATGGCATATTTAGACTAGATGCAAGACAGAAATGTTTCACAACGAGGGTGGTGAAACCCTGGCCCAGGTTGCCCAGAGAGATGGTAGCTGCCCCATCCCTGGAAACATTCTAGGTCAGGTTGGACGGGGCTCTGAGCACCCTGATCCAGTTGACGATGTCCCTGCTCCCTGCAGGGGGGCTGGACTAGATGGCCTTTGAAGGTCCCTTCCAATACAAACAATTCTGTGATTTTACGATTCTGTAAATCTATTTGTGGCACCTTTCACGTGCAATAAACCTATTAAGGACCAGATCCAGTTCCTCAGCAGTGTTGCTGCACTGCTGGCAGCGTTTAGCACTTTTCCCACCAAATTAAGTTATGCGATCTGGCCAGGGCGAGTGCAGGGTCACTGAGTTGGAGTGACATCATGCAAGCGAGCCAGGGAGAGCAATCGGAAAACTGCAGAGGAGGAAGCTACGTTCACTAAATTTGACTCGTATTGTGTTTAACTTTGACAGGTTGCCCAAAGCCTTTGTCAGTAACGAGAAGAGATGTCGGCAAGAAGCGGCTTTCCCGGCTACTCTCGCCTGCGCTCGCAGGGAGCGCTGCGCGCGGGACGTGCCTCTCGCAGAAGTTTGTCCCTTGGCGGCGCTCGTCGGGGGTGGGCCAAGATGGCGGCGCCCAGCTGGTAGCTCACGTGTTGCGGGCAGGGAAGGCGGTGACGGCGACGGTTCCACCATGTCGGGCCGTCAGGGAAACAAGCTGCCCAGCAACCTGCCCCAGCTGCAGAACCTCATCAAGCGGGACCCCACCTCCTACACCGAAGAGGTTCGGAGCCGGACGGCCGGGACGGGGTCGGCAGCAGGAGGAGCGGGGCGAGGAGGGAGGTTGTACCGGGCGTGAGGGGCTCCGGGAAGCTGAGGCAGGCCGTGGGGCTGGGGAGGGGGGCTGGCAGGTGCTCGTCCCCCTCGGCAGCCGCCGTCCTCTCTGTCCTCAGTTCCTCCAGCAGTACCACCACTATCAGTCCCATGTGGAGATTTTCACCTTCCAGCCGGACAAGCCCAGTAAGGAGCTGGCCGAACTGGTGATGTTCCTGGCCCAGGTAAGCCGCGGCCCTTCCCGCCGGCAGCTGCAAGCAGCGCCTGTGCCCCGAGCTCAGTGGCTGTGGCGAAGCGTCCTGTGCCTCCTGCTGCTGCAGCCCTGACCGAGCTTAGGTAAAGCTGCGCGTTGACCAAGATTTCCGCAGCACTATTGTGCGTTTCCGGTAATGTAAGTCTGTCTTTTGAGTGTTGGGTACAATTTTTTAAAAGGATGTGTTAATTGCAGCGTACCTTTTCGATCTGGCTGTTGGCAATAACTTACTTCTATGTCTGCTAAATTGTTGGTATTCAGTGATAATTTTACTGGTTGCTTACAGTATCTCACACCTTCCCGGGGTGATGAGGTGACCTGAGGTTTTCACCGGAGGTTCCAGCTGGGTCTCTCTCTACCCAGGTTGCCCAATGCTACCCGGAACACATGGCCAGCTTTCCCCAGCAGCTGAAGGAGCTGCTGTCCTACCACCATACGGTGCTGGATGCAGACCTCCGCATGGTAAGACCTACACCGAAAGGCCTTTTGGGCCGACCGTGACCTGTGGTTACAGTCTGCCGTTCCGTGTGAGACGAGAGCTTAAGGGTTGCTTTTTAATTTTTGAATAAAGCTGGAAATTGGGGGATGTTACGAAGTTTTGGTTCTCATTCCCTGTTTCTTTCTTACAGACGTTCTGTAAGGCTTTGATCTTGTTAAGAAACAAGAATCTAATAAATCCAACAAGTTTGCTGGAGCTCTTCTTTCAACTGCTGCGGTGTCACGATAAACTTTTACGAAAAGTAAGCTGTGCTTAGAAAAACCGGTCTTAATTTCCACTGGGTTTTGACCAACTTGCCAGAAGTAATGCAGTGCTGGCAGGCAGATCTTCTCCTTCCCTTGGTAACAAAGGAATGAAGTTTAAAATAGCTCTGCTTTTTCAGCGATTGGCAGTGCCAGAGGCACAAATCGATCTCTGCGTTCGCTTAGTAGTGAGGTGTGCTGCTGTAAACATCTTCACCAGGCTGCTGCAGGCCTGTTCCTGCCTTTGGAATCGAACAGCTTGGATGTGTCTGCAGGTGAAAAGCATAGACATGTTGCTGTCAGAGCAGGCCTTGCTTGCCTTTCTGACAACTCCTGAGTAAAACAACTAAAATGAAAACAGCTGCTTGTTACAGTTGTATTTCAAGTTTTCTGCTGTAAGAGTGAAAATACTTGCTTTCTGCCTCCAGAATTACTAACGTGGCTGTTAGAACACGACTGAATGAAGCAGGGGTGGGATTTTTTTTTTTTAAGTGATACTTCATGCTGTTCGCTTTCCTGTCTTATTATACTGTAAACTAAGTACGCTTTTTGAATATATGAAAATAAAGCATATATGAGACTTGGCAGGATAACAACTGTAACTTAAAAGAGAAAACAATATTCTCAGTGGTGATCAGTTCGGACTCTCATTTTAGTACTTAGAGACTTTGGGAGAATAGTAGTGTATCTGCAATGTTCTCTGTGTGAATTGTGTAGTTTACTCCCTTTGATCTCTCCCTTTACAGACTTTGTATACTCACATCGTGTCGGACATCAAGAATGTCAATGCTAAACACAAAAACAATAAAGTAAACACAGTAAGTACTTGAGCTTTCAGCTTCAATTTAACCCCTTGATATTGTGAAAGACTCGTAATAATAAATGTTTCCAAACTTTTTTCCTAGACACTGCAGAACTTCATGTACACTATGTTGAGAGACAGCAATCCCACTGCTGCCAAGATATCTCTGGACGTGATGATTGAACTTTACAGAAGGAATATTTGGTAGGTGTGGCAGGCTCGTATTGATTCACCGTTTATTGTGGGGCAGCCATCCTGACATCACTTGCGGCATGTAGTGCAGTATGTAATGCAGGGGGCAGTGACTTAAATATATTTATCTTAATTGTGTTCTGGTGGGATTGTATTTTCTGGAATGGAATTTAGCCGTGAAGAAATACTGTTTTGCGTGAAGCCTCAGAGTTACTTAGGTTGAGTATTTGACGTTTTAGCTGAAAACGGTGTGTAAATTGTGTGTATTGCATTCGAAACCGAAGCTATGTGCAGCTCGCTTTTTTGAGCTCTTGCACGTAAAAGCTGCTAATATTAGCGTACAGCTTGTGGTGTACAGTGGAAAGAGGTATTATGTTTGTGTTCTTAAGTCTAAGTTAATTCTAGATGATTGATCTAATGGGGGCTTTGATTTTTGGGGTTTTTTTTGTGAAGCTATAATGTAGCTGCTATTTTTAGCACAGAGCAGCTTGAAAGATTGTTCCTTAGGTAAGAATTGAAAGGAGTAGAAGCACACAGAGTACTGTCTGTTGCTGTCTTGTACCTGATGCATTGCTGAATCTTTTATGTTGTGTGACAAAATGCCAGAGCAGATGTTACCCCGTGGTAAGTTGTGGAAGTTGTTAGTCTCTTCACGACTGCTGGCTTTTTGACTGTACAAACACGTGCAAGACTTTTAATCCCTTCAGTTTGTAACGCCTTTGCTCTTGCTGGTTCTTGAACAGAAATGAAGCGTGCAAATGCAGCAAGTGATACTGCTGGTGAGCAGTGTGCCTGCTGCTTCTTGTGTAACTGCAAAATGGATTAGTAGTGGCAGAGCACTAACGGTGCAGTTCTTCCATTTCTTACTTGGATTTCTTGGTGATACATGCATGAGTTCCTCTAGAGCGTGCACGGCAACAATGCTTTGTCAGTGCATTGCCGAGAAACCACAGCTGGCAGACAGGACGTGGTGCTGGGGTCTATTTGAGCGTAAGAATTTCCATGTGTAGTGTTCAAGGAAATACTGTCTATTCCATGGCACAAATTAAAAAATTCACAGCAGTTTTGTAAGACTTATTGTCCACAGTAGTGGGTTGAGGACTATTTTCCCTAAAAGCACAGGCACTGGAAAAAACATTAGTGTTGCTGAAAGGATAAGACTTTTGCAGTATTGAAAAGTAGGTTTGTAAGTACATGAGACTTGGTATAAAATCAAATTAATTTCTGCAGCTTCTTTTCTTATAAACCCTTTTTTTGGAGTGTGCTTAATGTCAAAACTATACAGCTGCTTTTCTAATACTGGTTAGAATTCTGCATGGATTTTTTTTTTAACCAGTGGAAAAAGTGGTAATCTGTCTTCCATTTACTGGATCCTATTCCTTCTATCCCTTCAGTCACAGCATGAACTAGATGGAATGCAAGTGTGTCTGTTTATTTCGAGGCATCTATTGTGATGTTAGAAGAATAACAGAAAATGACAGAAGCTTAACTTGTTTGTTTGCAAATCTGTTTGAAGCATTGTGAGACTTGATTCTAGTGAAGCTTCCTGCTTGGTAGGAGTCATGTTTCATGAGACTTAATTTTCTGAGAGTAGCTTGAAATTTCCAAACTGTAAGTAAAAGGTGATGTTTTGTTTTATTGCAGGAACGATGCCAAAACAGTAAATGTTATCACAACTGCCTGCTTTTCAAAAGTGACGAAGGTGAGAACAGAAATCACTTGGTGAAACTGGATGTTAGCTAAGCTACCTTTTTCCTGTGGATGCAGCTTTTCATTTTGTAATTGCTAACAAGCTTCACTGATGATTTGCCTTCTGCTTGTTTTATTTTCAAAATGCTGCTTGTGTTGTGGGAGAAGGTGGCATTTGCTTCTTAGGTACAGAGCAAGAGACTTGGAAACTTACCTTATAACAAGTGCAAGCTGGTGTGGGGAGGGTACGCGTACTAATCGCTGCTGCTTAGAATAGACTATCAGAATATTGCTCCGTTATCAGCACTGTAAGGCTTTCATTTGTTAATTGTCAAGAGAGCGGCTATCCTGCCTGGGGCTTGAGTGTATCTTAGGCCTTCTGTCATTTGTGTCAATGCTTGAGGTTTTAAAAACTTGTATTATGGTTTGAGAGAAGTTCTTCCACTAGGAAGGTCCAAAAGCTGTTCCACTCAACAAAAACCATCCAACCAAAACTAACAGAAAACACCCCTCCAACAAACCCATATAAATTAATAAAAGTTTGGAGTAGTGAGCCCTGTCTCGGGTATCAGCTGTGCAGGAGTTGCTGATAGTGTTGGCGTGGAGCAATGAGATTGAAATTGCTTTGCAGAACGATAGGGAGAAAATTTGCGTCTTTGAATTTGCTCCAGGCATTGTGGAAGCCCAGATGCTTTTTGATTCTTTGTGTGCCTCTGAGGATGGGAGGCAAAAATTGACTCTGTGTCTAAAACACCTGCAGCTTTCAGTCTGTGATTTGTTTTGCTTTCTGTTCATATAATGCCTATAAAAAAATGGGGAGAGTCTTTGCGTAGCCTAAGAAGTAGATGTAGGGCTATTGTAAATACTCTTGTCAGTTTGTCCTGTCCTACATAAACTTACTTTGCTTTCCAGGTATTAGTTGCTAGTTTGAAGTTCTTTCTTGGGAGAGATGAAGATGAGAAACAAGACAGTGACTCAGAATCTGAGGTGGGTGTTGTGATTAAATCTTCTCCTCTCCGTTCTTCAAACTTGGATGTGTCTGTCATCCTAGTGACCCTGGCTGTGCCAGTCTGTCTGCTTCTGTGTTACGTGGCTTTCCATCTTGTTTCTAGCAGATGTTTCTACGCTTCACAAAACAGTTGAGTGTTTTTCATGGCTGGCCCCAACTGGTAGCAGGATGCCTTTGCTGTCTGTCTAAAGACTAATGTTAAGAGCTCCTTTGCTTGCTGCTTCTCCTTGTGAAGGAAGCAAATTCAATTTGAAGACCTAAGCAGGGGCTGGTCAGTCTGGTTTGTGAAGACATGACTTGCTGGATGTGTAACGTAGAGTTGTGGGAAGAGGCTTTCACCTGGTGTATTGGAAGCTGGTTTAATTTTTTAGCTGTCCATTTTGTCCTCTGTTTTCTCCTTTGTGCTATGCTTCCTGTTTATGTACAAACGAACATAATTCACTTAGGTTGAGAAGACTGATAATATAACAGGATTTCAGTTTAGAACCTTCTTGTACAGGACATTGTTGTTTGTCTGTGACTGAACAATATGCTCCAATTAACCAGCTGTAAAAACTACTGTGTTGATGCACTGTTAAGTGTTTGTGTTTGCATGCCCCTCTGGCATGTATGTATGTGGCTACTTTTATGGAATCGCGATTTTAGGTGCTAGTATTTCTGTATGATGAAATTTAGGAAGAGGGAGAGTTTTCGAATATAGTACGTGATCCTGAAAAATTTTGATACTTCTTGTTTCTCTGATTCCCATTTGAAGCTTGATGTCACCCGAGTCTTGTTTTCTTTGCGTTCCTTCTCTAGGATGATGTTCCCACAGCAAGAGATCTGATGTTGCGCTATGCAACTAACAAGAAAACCACCAAGCGCAAGAAGAAACTGGAAAAAGCGATGAAGGTTCTCAAGGTAAGGAGAGCGGTGTCTGACTTGCCAGCATTTTAGTCTAATCCTTCAGGTGTGGAAATCTTGTTGTTGCCCCTGTCGAATTAGCTACCTTTTGTCATCTCTTTTGGTAAAGGTCCTCTAGCATCCATTGGCCTGGCATATGCCATGTTTGCCTGCAAGAGAGCTGTTTCAAAACAGTTTTAGAGGCTAAATTGAGGATTAGTTTTCCTCTGGCTACCCTTTGTGTGGTCCCCTACTTTAAAGCAATGTGGTGTCTTGATAAGTAACTTTTTATGGCAGTTCCTCTTGCCTCTTGGGTCAGGTGGCAGAAAACCCTATGCAGTTGAAAAGAGTGATAGCTTACTTGTTAAAATCCAAGAGCCTCGTCTTGAAGAGAAGAATGGTAAATAGCAGCTGTTAACAGCAGCCTGAAATCGAAGCAGTTGCAGCTTATACATGGAAAGAAAAGAAAGTCTCTTTTACTCTTTTTGCCATGCAGAAACAGAAGAAGAAGAGCAAGCCAGAGGTGTTCAACTTCTCTGCTATCCACTTGATTCATGATCCCCAAGGTAAGCGTGCATATGTTGTCTTTTTTCAAGCTATGTGTTAATGCCAGACACTGAAGCTTAGACACCACTCTGCAAGGAGAAGGCAATGGGATACCTCTAGTGTGCTTTATCCTAGGGTTTCATAGTACTTCAAAAAAGTGGGACCGATCCTGCTGTGCTTGTCGTAGTGAAACGTGTAGGTGGTCAGACAAGGAAGGAGCAATATCACATCATGTGCTTCAGGTTGCTGTGGATCAGGACATGGCTCTCTACCTCTTTGTTGTATGCGTGAAGGCCATAATTTGGTGAACGGGGAGTATTTTATCTACTATAGTTTGTTTGGCTTATCCCCTTCAAAAATGTATTTCTGTTACTAGTGTGATGTTTGTCTAATGCCACTTGACTTGGTTATAGTCTGATCTTGTGAACCTCTGGGGATTATGTTTTGCTTATGAACTCAAAACATGTCTAAAAAAAAACTTTAAATACTGACCCTGTGCTTATGATGATGTGGAATTTGTGCTAGTTTTCCTCTCTGAACCTGTGTGCAGCTTTAGATCTTCTAGGCATGTGAGAAGAAAAATAACTCACTGGGACAAGTGCTCTGGCTGCCTTTAATTTCTTCTGTGCGAGGGCACTGGGTATTTAAAAAAACCCCGCCAAACAGACTTCTTGTCTACCACAAATCTATTATTGCTTCTTCTAGACTTTGCAGAGAAACTGCTGAAGCAGCTGGAGAACTGTAAGGAACGATTTGAAGTGAAGATGATGTTCATGGACCTAATATCTAGGCTAGTTGGAATACACGAGGTACATACTCTGATAATTTTATAACGGTCTGATGGTAGCCAGCCTGGTTTGGGTGGTGGCATGCTCTGGCCTTTTGTCTCTGGAAAATGAGGTTTAATTTTGCTGTATGTTGACGAGTGCAGATGCGTGGTCAGGTAGTTGCCCGTGGGCCTGATGGAATGGCGCAGTGGCATAGATTTGTGTGGTGCTAAGTGAGTGCTGCCAGAGGAGGCTGTTGGTCTGGAATAGCTGAGCTGCCTCTAACAAATAGAGGTGAGTGTGTCTTTTTTTGAGACCTACGTGCTCCTGGGAGAGTCTTCAAAGGAGAACGGGTCTTCGAAGGAGTCCAGCAATTGCTCACGAACAGCATTCTCTCAGGTAGACTCAAAGCGTGATCAAAACTACTGGAGTCTCTTTTTGTTTTGGGAGAGAAGCTTGTGTCCCCGAGGCAGAGGGAAGTGGCATATTGTGGGATTGTGCAGCGGAGTGCCCTAATTTGAATTCTGTGCAATCTAACAGGAACCTATATAGAATCTTTGATTGTTTTACAGCACATCAGCCTATGAAGGTGATCTCAACTTAAAAGACAAGAAGCTAATTTGTTACAATTTATTTCTTTCCTGCAGCTCTTTCTTTTTAATTTCTACCCCTTCGTTCAGAGATTCCTACAGCCCCATCAGAGAGGTAAGTAGCTACTAGTAGGTAACACTGCTGGTCCATTATGTCACGTGTACAGTCAGTTCTTAGAAGCGGTGCTGTCAACGAATAGGTAGCAGTAGTGTAGTAGGAAGTAGTAGTCCAGAGAGCGTGGATGAAGGAAGTACAAGGCCCTGACTGCCAGAAGTGCAGAGCGCTTTGGAGTCTCACAGAAGCTGTGTGCATTCAACGCCCCTTACCTGAGCGTTTGAGAAACTCCAGCAACGGAATGAAATGCATCTACCGAATCTGCAGTTCCTTGCGCATCCTGACTAGTTGAGCAAAGCACGACTGCCTTTTGCTGCTTTGTTTTACTGCTGTTTCACTCTAGTTCTAGAGCATTTCTTCTCATCTTAGCTGGCTATTAAGGGCCTGCACTGCTGCTGGGGTGAAGACCAGATGTGTTCATAAATCTTTGGTGTGAGAGGAGAAATAGTTGTCCCAAATAACTTCAGTCTGAAGTTCCAGCTTTGAGACTTACACTGAGCAGCTTGTCGAGTTAGCTGTTTCGGTGAATGTGTTTATTGGCCAGAGTAAGATGCAGCAATATTCTTTTGCATTTTCCTCCCACTTATCTTTTCTTCCAGAAGTGACAAAGATTCTTCTCTTCGCTGCACAGGCTTCCCATCAGCTAGTACCACCCGAGGTCAGTATTCCACCTGTGCTGGGTGATGTTAAAAATGGACAGCAGGCTGGCAGGGAAATATAATGGAGTGCATTCGTGGGGAGGGGGAGAAAGGGAATCTGGTCAGACCCTTTGTCTTTAAAAGCTTATTGTAGTTTTGGCTACAGTCCAAGGGATTGTTTTGTATAAGGGGGAAAAAACCCAAACTGTGTCTGATGTCTTCATTTCTAGAAGAATTTGTGTCTAGAAAATGTATACAGGCGATAGTGACAAGTCCTGAGCTCTATCTTTCTGTAAAAAGGACTCTATTGTCTGTTAATAATGTGTTGTAATTTTTACAGTTTCATTAAAGTATGCATGAAGTTTATTTAACCTTTTTTTCTTCTTTTCAGATTATCCAGTCAGTGTTAATGACCATTGCCAACAACTTCGTCACTGATAAGAATTCTGGGGAGGTCATGACCGTAGGGTGGGTACAGAATCTTACAAAAACTGTACAACTCTCTCTGAATGTGGGAAAATATTTCTTTTATATAAATCATCTGCAGCTTATTCCTGTCATTTGTACTATGCTTTTAAGAATCTACTTGAAAAAAAATAAGTTAGGAGAGTATCTTGGCGTAAACTTCCCTGATTTTCGTTTGCAGTGTTTTAAATTCCCCGGAATGATGGGTTTCTGTACTTAGTGCTGTGACTTAACTTTTCTGGATTTAATGATGGTGTGGGGTTTTTGGGTGGTTTTTTTGTTGCTTTCTCACTTGGTCTTGTATGTTTCTTCCTTCCTGGATGTTGTTATTTCTGCCTTCAGGGCAGACCTCTTGTCTGTGAATTAATGTATTTGTATGTATTCAGTGAGTGGCTAGCAGCATAGCTCAGGACTCTTCGCTTGGATGTTTTCTGGATGAAATTTGACAACAAATTTAAATGTTGCTGTTAGAGAAACTGTTAGGTACTTGTAAAGCTCTGGTGTATGTGGAGTAAAGAATGATCAGTAAATGTAGGGGAGAGCTGAACTGTCCTTGAAGACGAAGCAGTCAACAGGGCCAGACTATTGTGTGTACACATGTGAATATTTTGTGAGCTATTCCTTTTCCTTTAGGTGGGGTTTTAATCCAGGTATTTAGTGTACTAAGTGTGTGCATGAAGGGAATTTGTGTGAATCCGCAGATTTCTGTTGTACTGTCCTTAGCCTGCGCATGGTTGACTCCAGAAAATCGTTTCTTGATTTTATTTATTTTATTTTTTTTCTTGGCGTGGTGATTGTTTGGCTGCTTCTCTTGTCCGCTTGGACCCAGACTTCAGCTGCAGAATCCTGAGGCCTAGGATCAGACAAAATAATAGCTGGAGAGTAGAGTATGGGCCAAAGATGGAAGGTTTTGGCGAAATGTGGCACGGAGAGCTCTTTGCGATGTTCTCCTCTGTTACATTAAATGTTGTGTAAATGCTGTATCAGGTTCTTCAGGTTCTAGATAATTCAGTCAGTTACTGGCCGGTGGGAGTGTGTCCCAGCTGTCGTGTTCAAAAAATGATTCCCTTGGAATTTTTTTTAGAATCAATGCAATAAAAGAAATCACTGCGAGATGTCCCTTAGCTATGACGGAAGATCTGCTCCAAGACCTCGTTCAGTACAAGACTCATAAAAATAAAAGTAAGCGTATTACATGGGTATGACTTTTAAATCTCTTTTCTGCTGTATCATCTGGTCCTCCATTGTTACGGCCTTCATAATAAGATGTCTTAATTGTTTTTTATGTAGGCTGAGAGGTGTCATTAGAGTATGTTTGTTGCATTTCTGTGTATTTTGAGTGCATATAGGAGAGAAAACAGTCCAGGGTAGATATGGCAGGGGAATTAATTGACCAACATGAAGAAGGGAAACTGCTTGCTAATAAAGATTTAGCCCTAAGGAAGAGCTGGATCCTGCACTGAAGAAATCAGAGGGAGCTATAACTTCAGCAAAAGGCATGATCAGGGTGTAAATACTGATTATGTGAGTGGGCTTTCAGTTTGCTCAGAATTCTGCTCTTCTGTACTTATACCTGAATCTCTTTTTTCTGGATAGATGTGATGATGTCTGCAAGAACTCTGATACACCTTTTCCGTTCTCTGAATCCAGAGATGCTGCAGAAGAAATTCAGAGTAAGTGTTGTTTTATGTGCATTGCATTCACCATAAACATAGGCTCCTGTGCTCAAAAATTATGATGGCAACTGGTCTCGTAGCCTCTTCAGAATGAGGTGGGATCATGCCTGCGTTCTTCCCCTGCCTGCTCCCTTCCTGCTTTTTGATGTGGTGTTCTTGTATTTTAACATTTCCTTAGTTGAAATTTATCCAACTCATTGACAGAAGGATTGTGCTACAGAAGCTGGAGTATCTTCCTAGGGTTTGTTCAACTTCTTAGTAATTCAAGATCTTATCTTATTTCATCAGGCAGAGTTTATCTTTTCCACCTGCAGCCACCTCTTTTTCATGGATTTGTGTGCTGAACATGTACTTTGTTAACTTACAGGGTAAGCCTACTGAGGCCTCTGTGGAAGCCAGGATTCATGAATATGGAGAACTGGATGCCAAAGATTATATCCCAGGAGCAGAAGTACTGGATGTTGAGAGTCAAAAGGAAAAGGGAGGAACCCAAGAGGAAGGTTGGCCTTTTTTTCTTTACCGCTTGTATTTTATCATCGTTGTCACTAGGATTTTATTTGGCCATAAAACGCGGGGTTCATGCATTTCATTTGCTGCTGTCACGTGCTGCACATATCTGTATTTGTCCCTTAAGAAGCACTGATACTATTCTCAAGTATGTGCCATTTATCCCGTGAAGTTTGTTACTGTGTGTTGCTTTGTATGATAGAGACTGCGGGATGGAAAAGTAGAGGAACAGACATTGTGCAGAATCGGTTGCAAGGCAGATGAAATTTGGTAGCTGAACTTACCAGTGGGAAAGTGTGGGAGCTGCTGGTCCGTTCAATGGTGGATGTCTTGTAAAAATCATTAAGAAGTAGCAGTCGGATGTATGAAGTATCTTATGTCTGTGTAAAATCTACGTAGTTCTAAGGCTGGGATTCTGAGACCCTACAGCTTGCCGATTTGGTAACCAAGTCTCTGGGCATAAATACCTATCTGTAGCAGATAGGTAATGAAAGGCAGTGAGAGCTTGCGATCCAATCTGAAATGATTTCAAACTTGAGCTGTTAAACCGAATCTGTATTAGTGACACTGCACTTCTTCCCCTGAGCAGATGGATGGGAAAGTGCTAGTCTGAGTGAGGAAGAAGATAATGAGGATGGCGAATGGATTGATGTGCATCACTCCTCGGATGAGGAGCAGCAAGAAGTAGTGAGTTCTAAGTGTCTTCTACCCCAAATACAAATATGTCTTGTTAATAGACCAGATACTCTTGCTCTGTACTTCCATGTGGCTGCTCATAACTAACTGTAGAGGGCTGCGGAGTAACTTGACCGGTATCGGTGAGGTTGAAGTACTGTTGAGCACCTGTGCTGAAGTATGCATGTTCTTAGGGTGAGGGGGACAGATGGAGGAATTCTGCCCCAGTGCTAAGTTCTTTAAAAGCTATGATATTTGCATGATGAATGCTTTTATTCGCTCTGAAATAAGAAGCAGTGGAAATACTTCTTGTAATACTACATGTTGAATACAAAGAATCCTAACAGCCCGTTATAGCCTTGCCCCCTTACATAGGTATTTGGGAGGTAAGGGTCATGCATTGTGGTGCAGAAATGGTTTGCAGTGCTCACGATGATTCTTCTTTTGCACTTTTTTCAAAAGGCAGAGAAGGTGAACAGCATGCCCATAGAGGAACGAAAAGCCAAAGCTGCGGCAGTCAGTACAAGCAGGCTGCTAACCCAAGAAGACTTCCACAAAATACGCCTTGCCCAGCTCTCCAAAGAACTTAATTCTGCACCCGGCAAAGCTGCCAAGAGGAAAAATATTGAAATAGATGATGAAGAGGAGGAGGGCAGGTAGGATATGAAATATTGACGAGTGCTTTCTCTTCCCTACAACCTAGTGATGCAGCTTTTAATTGCAGCAGGGCACAGAGCTCTGCTGCTGGTCAGTATCCCCTGGTGACAGGTGGAGAACAGCCACGCAGCCTAGAAGGGCTCCTGGCCTGGGGGATTTGGTTATACCTGGGAGGAAAGACGTGAGGGGCTGGTGGGAACTACGGGACTGTTTTCCCTGTTCAGAGCAGCAGTTGCAGCAGTAGTTGCATGGTTATATTTCCAGAGTTCCTTTTCAACTTTGTGCTTAAAGCAGGACTTGAAAAACAGTGATGAGAGGCTTTTGTAAGGGTTGTCCCAAGCATAAGGATTGGCCCGAGAGAAAGAATAAGAGGCGCTTGTGTGAAAGTTTACAGCAAGAAAATGGCGTAGGAAATGCGGGAGAGACAAAGGGTCTGGAGGGCATGTTGTTTTTTATTGCCAGATGAAGTTTTGTGTTTCATGGCTTTTTGTTGGATTTTTGTGTGTCTAGGGGAGAGTTGCTTTCACTCAGAGATATTGAACATCTGCATAAGAAGCCTAAATCGGATAAGGAGACCAGATTGGCAACTGCAATGGTGAGGAACTTGCCTGTTGCATATCCTCCGTCTTTCTAGATTTGGGTTTGTGTGGTGGTGTCTCTTGCGGGAGGAGGAGGGTGCCCAGCTGCCATTTGCATGTTGAGAAATGTTCTGTGTAGTTTTTTGCGGTTGCATCCAGGCTGTAACAGAGTAACAGCCTCTTGCTGGTCACAGCTGACAAGGAAAATACTAACACGCCCAATGTTCACTGGGACTTGACAGAGACGGCATGGAAGAATGCATATAATGTACACAGCAAGTCGTACGGAACCTGGATTTATTGTTACTGCTGTGGAACTTGTCACCTTAGCAGCTGATGTTAACTGTAGGAAAGGAAAATGACCCCCTGTTATTATATTATGCTGTCTATTCTAGGCTGGAAAAACAGACAGAAAAGAATTTGTGAAAAAGAAAACAAGGATTAACCCATTTGCCAGCTCTTCCAACAAAGAAAAGAAAAAGCACAAGAATTTCATGATGATCAGATACAGCCATAGTGTCCGGACAAAAAATAAGCGTTCTTTCAGGGAAAAACAGGTAATATTTGATGTTGAAAATAGATGGGGCAGTCTGAGCAGTAAACTTGTAATGCAGATGAAGTGCAGTCTATCCTGTGCCCTATGTCGGTGCTGTTTGGCTTTGATGGTTTAATTGCTGGAAAGGACTGTGGGCTAGGTGGCTTCCCTCGAATCCTACCCCAGAGGAGGTATATCGGAGACGGTAGCGGTCTTTTGTCAGTCTCTTTAATATGCATCGAGGACCAAGCCCTGTTGGAAAGTCATGTGTAGGTTAGGAAGGCAATGGTAATGTGGTTTGTTTTCCTTCATATAAATTCAAGAAGATCATACTAGAATCCTGACTCCAATCCTGTGATAGAAGAAATGCTTCCCTGATATGGAAGAGTTGTTTTTCAGGACAAGCTTTTACCGTGTTTCTTCACTCTCCATAGTCATTCTTCGACCTTTCTCGTCTTACCATCGTAGTACAGACTCATCTGTCCTGGCCTTGAGGTCATCTAATAATTTGTCACAAATGTACTTAAAAGCACAGACATAAATGCTATTTATTGCCTCTCTGAAACTGCTTAGAAAAAACAGATCGCTTCAGTTTAGCCTGCCACAGTAGTTTCACAGTATACCGCTCTCAGTGGCGAAGCCCCTGCGCTCTGCTGTGTCCTGAGCCATAAGCTTGGCCACAGCCTTGTGAAACGTTATACAAAGTAAAAAGATGCATTTGGCTGTCCAGTTACTGTATGTTCCTGCAGGCAGCTGTTCCCCGGGGCAGCTGAAGGAATATCAAAAAGACAAAGCAGAAACTTAGCTCCTGAAGGCAGTGGGCAGGGAGCCTGCATAGGTGAGTGGGCTTAGATGAGCTGGCAAGGAGTGAGTGTGGACAGGGAGCCTCCCTGCTCCTGTGATGCACCTCAGGTGGGGATGATGACCGAGCTGTGTGTGGTAGCTGTTGCTGGAGCTGTGGTGTAGGCATACTGCCTTGCCCTGCTGTGTTTCGCCTTGGCAGGCTAAGTCTGGGCTAACAACAAAAATCTGCCTTTGAAAATCCCTTTATCTCATCTGGCAGATGGCCAGTCTAGGGTTTTACAGGCTGTTATAAAATTGAACTCCTTTGAACATGTTCCAAGAAAAACTTAGAGAATAATCCAATTATGCAGAGGCCTTGTTTCTGTGTGGCATTAATTTTAGTGTTTTCTTGCTAGGTTCTGTCTTGTGCTAGAGAGCATTTGGATGCTTCCTTTACAAATGCTCTGAGTTGTTTCCAGGATGGTATCATTAGGATAATGTCTATTTGTCTGCAATTTGTTGCCTGTAAGAGCAGCGACACAGAAACTCTTTATAGACTCAATAGAGAGAACATGTCTTACGTGTTTCTGTTAAACAGGAAAACTTGGACCAGTATCCTCTGTAGTCTTTTTATGTGCTGTCATCCTGCCTCCCCCCAAATAAGACTGACCACATTAACTCAGATCTCAAAAGACACAAATGTCACAAACGAACAATCCATGCCCTTCTAGGAAACTGCGGTGTACAATGATTCTTATACTTGGCTCTTTCTAAAACTCCTTCTTGAGCGGTTTCAGTCCTTACTCCCCGATTTAATGTTTCAAGTTTAAATGTAACAGCTAAACAGTGAAAGAAGATTTTTTTTTTTGATACTACTTTCACTACAGTTTGGCCACAGCATCAGTTCTGTTTTCTGTGATTTGGAAATAATTGTTAAAAGTGGGTTGGAGGACAGTAGTTGTAGGATACTGCATTCTGCTGCCCTCTTTGGTGGTGGAATAAAATGGACTGTTGACTATAGTCCAGAGCTAGATCCCCTTACCAACTAAAACATCACTGAAATACGCAACAAAATCTCTTCAGAGTGATATGGCACTTGTAAAAATTCTAGCATCCTTCCTTTTCCCCTTGGAAAGAAGCTTTGTAATACTCTTTTCAAGAAATGCTTTTTAATCCTACTTAACATCTCAGCTGGACTGAAGGTTTTTCTTGATCTCTTCTAATTAAATATGAGTCAGTGGAGGAACTGTTTATGTTAATCTAATCTTTTTCATTATATAGGATTTGCTAATGGATGTACTGAAACATTTAGATTTCTGAAGCCCAACTCATTCTTTAATTGTACTATTGAGTTTAGCTAAATAACTACAGCATTTCTGCCACCGTGGTCATTAGCATTTGCTCCCAGTTACTGCTCCCAGTTTTAGCTGTTAAGCAATTAGTGTTTTTCTCAGAGGCTGAAGAAACTGAAGGGGAGGGGTTTTGATGTGATAGTGTTGTTGTCTCCTTAATTGATATTCTCCTTACCTGAATATTCCACTCTTGTTTTATGTTAAGCTGGCTCTTCGAGATGCGCTTCTGAAGAAGAGAAAACGTCTGCTGAAATAAAAAATGTTAACGGAGAAGATTACTTAACCACCCTTGAAGAAATAGCCCTGGAAATGCTTACTGCCACACACCACCACCCCAAAGTAAAAAAGGGACTGAAATGCCTTAAGGATTTGTCTCTGTTCTGTTCAGAATCACAAATTGAACGCTTCCAAGCTGTTGGATATTGCATCTATGGGACAGATGGAAGAGGCCTTAATCCTTGGAAAATTTAGATTTTTTTTCAAAGCTTGTAGGCAAGAAGGCAATTAGCTTTTATCGAATATAACTTACAGCTAGTTTTGTATCTGTAAGTATTAAAACATACAACCTTACTGTAAAAATACTTTACTTGAAGCAACACGTGATTAGGTGATTGGCAAGAAAAAAGAACATTCTGGCTCAGTCTATGAAGTGTGTCTGTAAAATGTCTGTGCCTGTCTTACAGCTGTGTTTTTACAGATGAAGCCATTTTCTAAGTGGCTGTTTTTATCTGTTTAATAATAATAAAATGAAATCCTGGTAATACAGGTAAGTTCAAGTGAACAGTTAAGGGGAAGAACAGTTTTACTGTGGTTCATTAAGAAAAGAATGAAATTAATATATAGGAGATGCTTTTCATGTTGCCATTTAAATAGAAAGGTAACATCACATACGAGAGAACTAAGGAATGTTATTTTCCTGTGTCAGTGCATCTTGTGGTGTGACTTACTGGTGTCTGATTTTTGAAGTATACATGAGAGTAACATGGACCTGTGGATTTTTTTTACTGCAAAGGTTGAACTCTTACTTCAGCCTTGACCGCTGCTATGGAGACCATTAATGGGTTCTTTGTACCTTACCCTGCCGCTGGTTTTAACAGAAACTTGAGCGAGTTCTTTATACCACCCTTTGTCAAATTCTGTTTGAAAGGGATTTCCTTGTGGGGCAGAATCGGGTGCCACATGCACAGTACAATAGAAGAGCATTTGGTGGGATGTCTTCTTCCTTTCTTCTTAAGAAACCAGGTCAATGTTGATATCCCACCTGGGAATTCATTCAGCTGAGGTATGTTATATTGAATACACAATTGTATTCACTTTATTTGCTACTATTTGTGTATTCTTTTGTTTTGTTGTCATTTCTTGCTTCCTAAAGCAAAAAAAAAGGTTAGAGAGGCTTCAGGCGGCTGAGAGAGAAGAACATTTAGAAACTTTCTACAGCTTGGAATGTTACCTTCAAATTTGATGCTCCTGCTGAGGCGAAGGCAGGGATTGCCACTTGGAAGGATAGCAATGATCTATGTGGGTGGAGGATATGCAGCTGGGAGCTGGAGAGATAAATGGATGCAGACGAGCTGTATGGGGATGGAGAGTGGAGTAGAAGCTGCAGAGAGACCAGTCAGGGGAGGAAAGGGGAACTATAATATGCTCTCAGAAAAACAAACTTTCACCCTCTTCCCTTTTTTCCCCTAAACAAGTGAGCCCAGTTTCACTTCTTGTGCATCTGTCCAAAAACTAATGTCTTCTGACAACTCAACAAGAGTGGTTTTCTTTGTGGTCTTCAACTTGAGGATGAGTTTCTCTTCCCTTTCCCCCCCTTTTGTTTACAGCCTTGCAGTGGTGTCCAGCATACTGAGAGCGATTCCCCGTTGCGGTTAGGCGTCTGGTTGTCTCCTTTCCCCTATTTCTAAAACTGAGAGTATGGGAGTGCCGATTTTAAACTACTGGGGAGGACAGTCCTGCTTTTTTTGGGTTGTTTTTCCCTCCCTCTCTCCGTTGCTTCTTACTTCCCGTCACTCTCGAGCTGGCTGGGGGCGGGCTCCGTAGCTCTCCCCGCGGCAGGTGGGCTGTGGGGGGATGCTGGCCGAGCGAAGCGGGCTCGGCGCCGGCCGCGTCGCTCTTCTCTGAGGCGACGCGCGG